GGTGAAAGAGGGCATCCCTATCTTGTTCCGGTTTTTAGAGGGAATACCTTCAATTTTTCTTCATTTAGAATGAGGTTGGCCTGGGGCTTTGCATAGATAGCTTTTACAATGTTGAGATATATTCCCGTTATTCCTAGTTTTTCTAGTGTTTTGAACATGAAAAGGTGCTGTATTTTGTTGAAGGCTTTTTCTGCATCTATTGAGATAATCATATGGTTCTTATCTTTAAGTCTATTGATGTGATGAATTACATTTATTGATGTCCATATATTGAACCAACCTTGCATCCCTAGTACACCCACTTGATCGTGGTGTACTATCTTTTTGATATGTTTTTGTATTCAGTTTGCCAGAATTTTATTGAGAATTTTTACACCTATGTTCATTAGAGATATTGGTCTGAAGTTTTCTTTTTTTGATGTGTCTTTGCCTGGTTTTGGAATTAGGGTGATATTGGCCTCATAGAATGAGTTTGGAAGTGCTCCCTCTTGTTCTATTTCCTGAAATAAATTGGAGAGTATTGGTATTAGTTATTCTTTAAATGTCTTGTAGAACTTGGCTGTGTATCCTTCTGGTCCTGGGCTTTTCTTGGTTGGTAGGCTTCTGATGGCATCTTCTGTTTCATCACTTGAAATTGATCTGTTTAAATTGTGTATATCATACTGATTCAATTTGGGCAAATCATATGACTCTAGAAATTTGTTGATGCCTTTGATATTTTCTATTTTATTGGAGTAAAAGTTTTCAAGGTAATTTATAATTATCTTCTGTATTTCTTTAGTTTCTGTTGTGATGTTTCTTTTTTCATCATGTATGTTACTAATTGAGTTTTCTCTCTCCTCTTCGTTAGCATGGCTAAGGGTCTGTCAATTTTATTTATTTTTTCAAAGAACCAACTTTTTGTTTTGTCAATTTTTTCAATTATTTCTCTTGTTTCAATTTCACTGATTTTGGCTCTGATTTTAATTATTTCCTGTCTTCTGCTTTTGGTGTTAGATTTGTTCTTCTTTTTCTAGGGCTTTGAGATGTGATGTTAAATCATTTATTTGTTGACTTTTTTTTTTTTCTTTTAAGGAATGAACTCCATGCAATTAATGTTCCTCTTAGAACTGCCTTCATAGTGTCTTAGAGATTTCTATATGTTGTATCTGTTTTCTCATTCACCTCTAAAATTATTTTAATCTTCTCCTTGATGTCTTCTGCAACCCATTGTTTATTCAGTAACATATTATTTAGTCTCCAGGTGTTGGAGTAGCTTTTATTTCTTATTTTATAATTGATTTCAAATTTCATTTCATTATGATCTGATAGAATGCAGGGTAGTATCTCTCCTTTTTTATATTTGCTAAGAGTTGCTTTGTGGCATAATATATGGTCTGTTTTAGAGAAGGATCCATGTGCTGCTAAGAAGAAAGTGTATTCCCTTGTTGAAGGATGAAATATTTTATATATGTCAGTTAAGTCTAAATTATTGATTGTATTATTGAGTTCTATAGTTTCTTTGTTCAGCTTTTGTTTGGAAGATCTATCCAGTGGTGAAAGAGGGATGTTAAAGTTACCCAAAATTATTGTGTTGTGGTCTATTTGACTCTTGAACTTGAGAAGAGTTTGTTTGATTAACATAGGTGCTCCATTGTTTAGGGCATATATATTTATAATTGTTCAGTCTTGTTTGTGTATGGTTTCCTTGAGCAGTATGTGGTGTCCTTCTTAATCCCTTTTGATTAACTTTGGCTTGAAGTCTACTTTAATTTGACATGAGGATGGAAACCCCTACTTGCTTCCATAATCCATGTGAGTGGTATGCTTTTTCCCAACCTTTCACCTTTTCCTATGAGATGAGTCTCTTGGAGGCAGCATATTTTTGGGTCTTTTTTTTTTTTTTTTTTTTGATCCAATCTGCTAGTCTATATCTTTTGATTGGAGAGTTTAGGCCATAAACGTTTAGGGTTATTATTGAGATATGGTTTGTATTCCCAGCCATTTTTGTTTATTTTTGGTATTTAACTAAGACTTGGTTTCTCTTCTGATTAGTTTTCCTTTAGTGCAATCCCTCTTTCTTCTTATTTTTATCATTGTTTTTTATTTCCTCTTCTTGGACTATTTTGCTCAGCATGTTCTGAAGTGCAGGCTTTCTAGCTGTAAATTCTTTTGTTTATCATGGAAGGTTTTTTATTTCATCATCAAATCTTTATTTCATCATCTTCATCATCAAACTTTTGTTTATCATGGAAGGTTTTTATTTCATCATCAAATCTCAAGCTTAATTTTGCTGGAAATAAGATTCTTGGTTTGCATACATTTTCTTTCAGAGCTTGATATATGTTGTTCCAGGATCTTCTAGCTTTCAGGGTCTGGGTTGAAAAATTTGTACATATTCTAATTGGTTTTCCCCTATATGTAATCTGATTCCTTTCTCTTGTGGCTTTTAATATTCTCTCCTTATTCTGTATGTTAGGCATTTTCATTATAATGTGCCTTGCTGTAGATCTGTTGTAATTTTGTACACTTGATGTCCTGTAAGCCTCTTGTATTTGATTTTCCAATTCATTCTTCATGCTTGGGAAATTTTCTGATATTATCTCATTGAAGAGATTGTACATTCCTTTGGTTTGAATCTCTGTGCTTTCCTCTATCCCAATAACTCTTAGAGATTTGTACTTTTGATGCTGTCCCATAATTTTTGGATGTTCTGTTCATGGTTTCTCACTATCTTCACTGTGTGATCAACTTTATTTTCCTGATTGTATACTTTGTCTTCGTTATCTGACATTCATTCTTCCAAGTGATCTAGTCTGTTGCTTATGCTTTCTATTGAGTTTTTTTTTTTATTTGGTTTATTGCTTTCTTCATTTCAAGGATTTCTGACTTTTTTGGGGGGGATCTCTATCTCTTTCTTGAAGTAATATTTTGCGACCTGTATTTTCTCTCTTATCTCTTTGTTGGAGTGATCAATTTTTGCTTGTATTTGCTCATTTAGGTCATTCTTTAATTTACAGATCATTTTAATTATGAACCTTCTAAACTCCTTCTCTGACATTTCATCAACTTCACTTTCCATGGGTTCTGTTATTGTAGTATCCTGGTTTGTTTGGGGCACTTTCCTCCTTTTTTTTTTTTTTCCATGTTGTCTATGTATCTTCCTTTCTTGCCGTTTCTACCCTATTATTCTTGTAGTACCCTGGGCATTTTAACTTTGTGGTTGTGCAAATTATCTGTACCTGACCTTGATGTTGGGCTTCCAGACCCTGCTGGTGACCCTCAATGTATGTTACTGCAACTAAAGGTGGTGGTGGCAATAGGGGAGATAACTCGAGATGCAGCAGTTGAGGTGCCCCAAGATGGATGTAATGTCTTACAGAGATGGGGCTGAAATGGTGGGCCTTACACTTTCTTTGGGATGCCTGCTCTGAGATGCATCTGCTTTTAGGCCCTGACTGTTGTTGAAAGGTAGGGACTATGGTATGGGGAAGGCTATGGTGATATCTGCAGTTTCCTAAGATGGAAGTGGGTTAGGCTTGGGCTCTCAGGTGGGGAGTGTGGTGGTGGTGAACTCAGACCTACCCTGGGCCTGGGCCACGTGCAGATCGGTGTGGGAGGATTTGGGCTGGGCCTCAGCTCCCAAGGTGGCCTCTGTAAAGCATGTCTTAAACAAATGCCTTACTACTGCTCACAGTTAACAGTTCTAGAACTTGCTTGTTTTGATTGATTGATGTTTAGAGTTAACAAGAATAATGAAAATACAAGTAAGGAATAAAAGACGTCCACTCATGATAAGCACTCGTGTATAGAACTGAGAAGAAAAATAATCACTTTGCCAAGCAAACATATAAAAATCCTGGACATTTTAACTTTGTGACAGTATAACTTTGTGGAGGATAATAGCAAGTTGGAGCTCTCAATTGGCTGAAGGCAAATGCAAGTTCCTTCTCATTTATAAGCTTTGATTTTGAGGCACAGACTTCAGAAGTTTTTAGAAGTGTTCTCAACACAGTCTTGGTTTACCTGTGTTGGTAACCACACTGGCATACCATGTTCTAAGACTTTTTATTTAATTCCTCCAAGTTTCAGTTCTGTAAAATGGTAATAATAGTGAGAGGATTCTTAATCCAACTACCTCACAAGGCTATTTAGAGAATGTGCACCGTTCACACAATAAATGTTCACAGAAATGAAATAACCTATTTTGAATATGAAGTACTATAAAGCATTGGTGTTGAATGTTCACAACCATTATGGTCAGTTTTCAGCTTCTCTTGAACACTTCTGCTTGCTAATAGATCACACCCTCTTATTTTTCTCATTGGAAAGAGTATTTTAGTGTTAATTGTTTACATAGTAGTTACATCCATCAACCTAATATAAAACTACCCATAAATCAAATACTTTCCCCTCTCTTCTCCCTGCTTTGGGGCTGGAGGGAGGACAGTAGGTGCACATTTAATAAGAGCCAGATTAAGATTAGAGCTCACTCTGTTTTGATGCAGGAATGGAGTAAATATGACCTGGGACAGATAACTTCCCTCAGTGGGCTCAGGACTTTTTCTTTTTATTTTGAGAGTTGTGACTCTCAGAATGATGCACATCTGACTAACCTCTCCAGATTGTACTTAATGAAATATATTTTTCCATAATTCTAAATTATCTAGGACTTAATTGTGTAATTTTTAGCTGCCTAGGATATTGACTTCCTTTCTTTCTCTAGATAATGGCTTCTAGCCATTGTATAGTAATAACAATGTAAAAAAGCGGATGAGCAAGAAGATGTAATTCCATTTTGCTTTTTATCAGTTTTTATAGAGGGCATGAAAGAGGGGCTGAAGACTTCTTAATGTGGAATTTGAACAGTATTTGTGTTTTGTCATCTGCTTGCCATCTATCTTAGTGCCCCATTTCAAGGATAACTGGGGGTCAATGGGACATTTTTGATAGGTCACATTTATTGCCATCAGTACTTTTTAATGAAATTATATTGATTCATTTATTATACTTAATTCCAGGTAGAATGTTATGATTATGACAATGATGGATCACATGATCTCATTGGAACATTTCAAACGACCATGACAAAACTGAAAGAAGCCTCCAGAAGCTCACCTGTAAGTTATGTCTTTGAATTTGTATATACTATATAGTTTAGCTGTGTATTTATTATTTTATTTTATTTTTCTTGGCATAGCAAACAGTTTTACCATGTTTTTTTCTCTGTATTGCGTAATGCTGTGAAATCAATGGGATTTTTTTGTTTGCTAATTTAATAATCAGGTAGTCCAAAATTTATATTTGAATTTTGTTGAGCATAACACCATGGAATGATTTACTAATGCCAGTTGAGGACTGGAAGAAAGCAAGGATCATCATGATGTCAGTCATTTGTAGTGGAAGTCCAAACACTTTGCCCATTATACTTTGGAAAGGTTCAATGATTCCAGAATCAGGAAATAACCTACTTTTATAAGACAATGACCTAACACTGTATACTGAGAAAAGGTAGAGCAAGGTCAGCTTTTATAGTAGGTGTCAGTCCCCCAGAGCCAGCAGGTCCTTTCTGGCTGCCAAATCAGGGCCATTTTCTATGTGTGCTTTTGTGGATGGTCTCTGCCTCTCCCCCATGAAGTCTAGAATACTGAGAGTCAGGGATGGGCCTGAGGGCCATTGACCCTGAGGCCTAAGTAGCACGAAGGAGCCCTCGTTGAGTATGAAACTGGGAAGAGTATTTCCACACGGGCGATAAGCCCAGTACCAGCTTTAAGGACTCTTATGTTAAAGTAAAGAATTATTCTAGGCCCAGGATTCATTCTGAAATGGCCAAGGTTGTATCAAAGGCTATTGTGCATGAGACTGCCTTTCTCACCAAGTTACATTTATGTTTAGAGGTTTGATTTCCTTTTGTTTAAGACAGCACACATAATTTGATCAAAAGTCCTTTGCTTAAGGCTTTTTGCATTTCACTAGTCACAATAGTTAATACTGTTATGCCAGACAAGTGCCTGGACTTGAATTGTATACACTTATGCTACTTTTGCATGGTCTCTTACAGTCAGCTTGCCTCTGATTTGTCCTTACATACAGGGAGGACAAAAGCTTAGTTCATGGTGCTTCAGATGACTTTTATTAAGATCATTTGATGCCTGGTTATGGTGGCATATGCCCGTAATCCCAGCAGCCAAGAGGCTCTCATAGGAGGATTGCAAGTTCAAAGCCAGCTTCCTCAACTTAGCAAGGCTGTAAGCAACTTAGGGAGACTCTGTCTCTAAATAAAAAAATATTTTAAAAAGGGCTAGGGATATAGCTTAGTGGTTAAGAGCCCCTGGGTTCAATTCCTGGTACCAAGTAGGGGGCAACTATCATTTGACTACTTTAACTATATTCAGTTTAGCATCTTAACTTATTCATTAGAGTAAAAAACACTGAAACTTTCTGTCTCTACACTAATGTGGCCATAAGGACACTACTCCAGAGTGTTTTATTTACCCTTCTAGTTTGAGAAAGTAGTTAATTCTCTCTGTAGCTTACTTGTAACCGAATAATATGAATTGTTTATTAGCTTCTTAGAGACCTGAGTAATGCTCATGTGTGTAACATCTACTTTTGAAAATACAAACATGGTGTTTGAGAGAAAAAAGATTACAGCCAGGTGAGAAGGTCTTATTACCTAGTCATGTAAGAGAGGTGAGTTAAAAGAAGGTACAGAGAGTTTTAGATCAAACCTTAAAAACCTTAAAAAAACTATGTGAATAAATAAAACATGTAAACCAGTTGGTTTAAATAATTGAGAAAAATGAGATTAGAGCAAACATACTGGGACTAGCATTTCCAGTAGGTAACATAGAGACCTGCAGTCTGCTCCTAGTCCCTGGTCACACAGCCCAGGTGCTGGACGTAGCAAGTACAGAAATGCTAGTGTGGAGGAGGAAAGATCTTAAATCACCTGAGCAGTTGAAACACAAAGATGGACAATCTTTGAATTAAAACGACAAAGAGCTTAGCTGTAAATATTCTATTAAATTTTTTAAATTTTTAAGGCAGAATTAAATGAGAAATAATAAAAGTCTGAATGCTTAAAGTTATGCAAGCTACCCAGATTAACTAAATACGGACTGGTCTAGTTGTTGTTTCACTAGTTTCAGTTCATTGTTTTATTCCAGAATCAGGAAATAACCTGCTTTTATAAGACAGTGACCTAACACTGTATGATACTTTATGGGTCATGTAAAGCTTTCCTGAATGTGGCTGAGTTGATCCTTCCTTTTCTCTGTGACAAAAGAGGCTTTTATTGTAGTTGCAGTTGTTGTTGCAGTGACAAAGACTTGACCAAGGAACAGGGCCATGTCTTATCGTCTCTGCATTCTCAGTGTCTTCCTGGCACAGTGCCTGTCACTTGGTAGATACTTTGTAAAAGGATAAATTAATGAAGTGAAGAAATCTAGCATAAATGAGTATTCTATTGAGGGCATTTCTGCATCTGTAATGCTCATTTATTAATATTTATGATTATGACTAAGACTGCCAAAATCTTGAACCATCGAGGAATATGTTTTACATATTTCAATTTACATCACTGTATCAAATATATTTTTAAGATATTGATTCTTAGAACATTAGTAGTGACTGTTGGAAGTATATCAATGACTTACTGTTAGCTAGTTAGGGGCAACTTATCAAGTATTAGTTGAGTATTCTTATGTTCTTATTACACATGACAGTGAAAATTTGGCAAAATTTAAACTTGGGAACTATTTTTAAAGACGTGCCATTTTAGGAGTGCCTTAATTGTTGGAAACTTAACTGATAAGTATTTCAATGCTTGAGGTTTTACATAATTGTTTCAGAGTTGTATTTTGCAACAGACCTATATCAGTAAGTGGTTTCATTCCAAGGGGAAAGGTTGTACATCTAAATTCACAACGACATTTCTAATGGTTGCTGGTAAAAATTAACATTTTTGTGTTTTCTTCCTACAGGTTGAATACGAATGCATAAATGAAAAAAAGAGGCAAAAGAAAAAAAGCTATAAGAATTCAGGTGTTATCAGCGTGAAACACTGTGAGGTCAGTTTCCCTTGATGGCTTATAGTGAGATCACATTTTGGGATCTCCTGTCATTATGGTTTATATCAAACGAGTAGTTTAGGCAGTTGAAAATCTGTTGAGCATCTTTAAGGGAAAGAATAGAGTGGGAAACAGTAAAGGAATCTTTCTGGAAACTTTACTTCCAAGATTTGACAACCTGTAGCAAAAGACAAAGAGTATTAAAGTTGTCTGTTATCTTCAGAAATGTGAGATTCAAAGTGTTCTTCTATCCCTTTAGTGGAAATGGCCTGACCCAGTGCATCTCTCTTGGTTATAATTTAAAGATGAGATCTTATGAATGGAAGGGAAAAGTCAAAATTTCTTACAGTGAAGAAGTGAAGTTTTTTAATTTATATTTTTAGTATGATTTCTTTATTATTATGCTCATGAAAGCTGTTGACATATGAGGCTCATTTGTTATCTCTTAAAATTTAAAGTGAATGTCTTTCATTTTTGGCCATTAATATTCTCATCTTACTTAGCATTGCCATAATTATCCTGAAATAAATCTTAAAGATTCATGACATTTAGGGGCAGGAGTACATTGTACTTGAATGCAGGTGTGATTTCAATGTGTTTATACCATGTGATGTTCAGCTTATAATGTCTTAAAAATTTATGCCAGAAAGCTTTTTGTTTCTTTTGTATAGTAGGAGAATTTTAATTTTAACAGTTTGCTATTTGTTTTTAGATTACAGTAGAATGTACGTTCCTTGACTACATCATGGGAGGATGTCAGCTGAATTTTACTGTGAGTAACACACTCACTTTTCTAACAGGCTGTAAAACATTGCTTTCCCCCCTCCATTTTGCAGCATTCTTTTGTTTATTGCCAAACTGTGTGATGAAATTTGCACAGTCTGTTTAGATTCCTCAGAGACCTCAGACAGGTTATCTAGGTTCCTCATGGAAATTTTAGTTTTGTTGATGAAAGAACTCTTTCTCCTGAGAGAAATCAGATATGTACAAATGAGCAGTTATCCTGCAATAATTTAAGGAATAGAAAGCATTAATGCAATAGGTTTGCACAAGACAACTCCTAAGTCTGAGTCATGGGTGTAATGATTCATGATTTAAAACTAGGAAAACAATAGCAAGTTATCTCATGTTGAGGCTTTAACTGTCCATGGAAATAGGCATTTGTTAGGAAATGACTGTAGTAGGCTCTGGAATGAACATTTGTGTCTTATCCCCTGAGGTTTCTTGGTCATCACCTACAGGTGCCCCTGCTTCTCCTTAGTAAGGGCTGCTGTTGTTCTTTGGCAGGTGGGAGTGGATTTCACTGGCTCCAATGGTGACCCAAGGTCTCCGGACTCCCTCCATTTCATCAGCCCCAATGGTGTCAATGAGTATTTGACTGCTATCTGGTCTGTGGGACTGGTCATTCAAGATTATGATGCGTGAGTATTACTTTGGAAATGTTGAAACACTTGTTTTCATAATTCCCCAGAAAGGCCAGTTTTTGTTTCATTGACTGGTATTCTGATCCGGGTGGTAGAATGAGGGTACTGGAGGGAATAGCTTTCTCCCTAAAATTTCTCTAGTTTATTTTTTTCTATTCTTTTCTTTGTTGACAATTTTAGTATTTACTTATGATCTCTCACCTCTTATTGTGCTTAGTTACAAAGTGTTATACAGAGAGTTCTTATTTAATAGCTGACTGAAGTCAACAAGAGTTTTATTTTTCTGATCTGGTTGCCTTGGGGTTTATTCATTAGATAAGTTGTATGTGTGATTGAAATCCAAGTGACACATTTTGTAAACAATAGTAAAAACTATTTCTAAATATGTTTCCTTGGCAGTCATCAAATACTTTTTAAATGATTTTTAACAAGTGCTAAAAGGTAACTAAATCTAATTGCTATAAAATATTCTGAATGGATGTGCAGTGGATAGGTTTTGAATAGATTTGGGGCCTGGCATAAGTCAGTAGTAGAGTATATGTTTAGCATGCATGAGACCCTGGGCTCAATTCGCTGCACCAAAAAAGTACAAAAGAAAACAAAAAAGTAAAAATATTTGAAATAGATTTGAATAATGGTGAAGGTTTACTAAACAATATAAAAAATATGCATTAGTAATTTTTTTTAGCAAATCTATTACCGCTCAGGATAAATTTTCACTTGTCTTTGCTTATTGTTATATATGATAGAAGTCCTTACATACTGATGTAGCTTTTTATTAATCTGTCCTGGCAAAATTCAGAAGCAAATTTTTTAGGCAAATGTGAACAAATCTAAAGCAAACTGGCAATTCCTTACCAGACTAGTAAACTTGAAGGCAAAAATCTTTACATAAAACAAAAAGTTACTTTATAGAATACTTTTTTATATAATCCAAGATGAAAATAAACAGTACTGAAGTATTTCAAATTAAAAATAGCTTGTTATAGAAGTATAATAAAATTTTCAAAGTAACACAATTATAATGGGATTTTTAAAAAGTAGAAATTTATAGGATTACTTTTTTTGCCTCCTGGAAGTTAATAACAAACGGGTTCTAAATTTACTGCAGTGGAAAAAAACAACAACAAAAAAGGAAAGGCATAGTTCTTAGATCAAAGAAGAATTTAAATTGTAATAATAGACTATGTAGGAATAAAGGACACCATGAAGACAGTAACTGGCCCTGTCTCTATAAAGAAACTTTTCTGACTTTATGTGCTTCTTTCTATCTGTCTGTCTGTCTAGTTGGCTGGCTGGCTATCTAAGGAGATGGAGGTCTTGCTATGTTATCCAGACTGATCTTGAACCTTTGGACTCAAGCAATTTCCATCTCTTCTTTTTTTTTTTAATATTTAATTTTGGATGAGCAAAATACCTTTTTTTTTTGTTTATTTTTATGTGGTGCTGAGAATTGAACTCAGTGCCTCATACATGCTCATTAAGTGCCCTACCACTGAGCTATGACCCCAGCCCCTCTGTTTTTATTCTTAAATACGAAGAGTCAGGGGCTGGGGTTGTGGCTCAGCGGTAGAGCACTCACCTAGCACGAGCAGGACCCGGGTTTGATTCTCAGCACCACATAAAAATAAAGGCATTGTGTTGTGTCCATTTATACCTAAAAATAAATAAATAAATATTTTTTAAAAATACGAAGAGTCAAATACAAATGAACTAACTTTTCAACAAAATAAAAGAATACTAAATACAGATTAATCAATTTAAATCAATATTGGAATGCAACCCTGACAGAATGATTCTTAAAATTTTCTAGAAGGAAAAAGGGATCAGAAAAAACAAGAAAATTTTCAGATAAGAGAGAGAGAGAGAGACCAGTGAAGAAGAATTTGCTCTAGCAGTTATTAAGACTTTAAAATAAGCTAAAGTGTGCAATTTGTACATGACCAATGAAACCAAGCAGGCAGGCCAAAAGTAGACCCACATGTATGTATAAGTGAATTTAATATATGATGGAGTTAACATTTTAGAAAGTGGAAGGCAATCTTAGTCATAATGATAGATTTCCTGTATGTATGTGTCAACTATTATATGTCAGGGACCATTTAAAGTACTTTCTTTCTTTTCTTTTTTTATAACCATGCTAGAGATGGAACTCTGAGCCTTGTGTACACTAGGCAAACATTCTAGTGAGCCACATCCCCAGCCCTAAAGTACTTTCTATTTAATACACATCTAATCCTCACATTTCTCTGTGCGATGGTACTTGTATGATCTGCACCATACAGTTGAGAAAACTGAGATCCAGGGAGTTAAGTAACTTGTTCAGAATCAGCTGATAACTGGCAGAGACAGGATGGAGCCTGGGCCATTGGGCTCTAGAGACATGCTCTTGTGATTATGATTTGGAAGGGTAAAAGGAAAGAAAAAATCACCATTTTGATAAATTAAATCAATAAATGATTATTTTTGGAAGTTCAACAAAACTTAGACAAAACTTTGGCAACCCTAACCCCCATGAAAGAGAGAAAGTGTACATAGAACACTAGTAATTAGAAAAAGATTATAAGCATAAATGTAGAGGAAAAAAACTCCAAATATATTAATACTTTGTAAAATATTATGCCATTACATTTGAAAATCCACATGAATGGATGATTTTTAAGGAAGCTCTTAATTACCAAAGCTGACTCAAAGGCAGAAAACTTGAATAGTCCAGGAACCATGGAAGGAAAGGAACACATTCTCAAAGAGCCAGTCCATACAAGGGCACCAGGACAGGGCAATTTCATGTGTAAATTCTAACAAATCTGCAAGGAATGAATTCAAACCCCAAAGAATCAACTGAAAAATAAAAGAGTTACAAATTGTCAAGAATTCAGAAAGGTGATCAGAGACAACACAAAATAAAAAATCAGGTTCTTACCAATTATCAATAACCAATTTAAAAAGAATCTAGTGGAGAAAAGTTACATTTCATAATGCAGTAAAAAATGAAAATGAGGAAAACTACAAAATTGTACTGAAGAACAAAGAAATTTGTTTAAATGGAAAGATATGTCATAATTTTTAGATAGGTATAATAATGAAATAAAATGTGAAATTTCATCTGAATTTATCAATTTAAATTAATATTGGAATGTAACCCTGACAGAGTGATTCTTAAAATTTTCTAGAAGGAAAAAGGAATCAGAAAAAAACAAGAAAAACTTCAGATGAGAGAGAGAGAGAGAGAGAGAGAGAGAGAGAGAGAGAGAGAGAGAGAGAGAGAGAAAGTGAAGAAGAATTTGCTCTAGCAGTTATTAAGGCTTATTTTAAAGCTCAAGTGTAGAATTTGTACATGACCAATAGAACCAAGCAGGCAGGCCAAAAGGAGATCCACGTGTATGTATAAGTGAATTTAACATATGATGGAGTTAGCATTTTAGAAAGTAGAAGGGATTGTAACAGCTAAGGAACTGGATAAGAATTTATTTGAATGAATCCCTGTCACACCTGTAAATATTAGGATATTATTCTGAATAAATTATAGATCAAACTGATAAAATGGATACCCCAAAACAGAGCAGCTTCACCAAAAGAGAGGTAAATATCTCAGGACTGATAGGGCAGTTTTGCTCCTCTCCATTTACAGATTCTGTTCCTGGGTTCAGGGCAGCTTCCTTGGTTCTCATCTCTAGCCAGTGGGAAGGGGAGAAAGGGATCTGGGACTGCAAGTGCATTCCCTTGTCTGATTGTGATTCAAAAGCAGCTGACAAATCCCTCTACTCACATCTCTTGAGCTGGAACCTAACTCCAGACCACATCCATCCCAGAGAAGCTGGGAGGTGGAGTCTCCAGCTCAAGTGTTCTATTAGTAAGGAAGGAGGAAATGATGTTGGAGGGGAGCACTTTTTGCTCCATATCCTACTTTCCAGATGAATTAGAAGTTTAATATCAAAAGCAAACCTTGAAAGTTCTAGGAGAAAATATGTATGAATTGTTTGTTATCTTGCAGTGGAAAAGGACTTTAAATAGGACAAGCAAAAGTAGAAATCATGAAACTTTTTTTTATGTGTTTACATCCATTAATATTAAAAACTACTAAAGGAACAATATTCTAAACAAAGTTACAGATTACATATCGGAAAAAATATTTGACATGACATAGGTTCCATATTCAATGCAAAAAGAACTGTTAAGAATTAATTTACAAAGAACATCCCGAGTAGAAAAATTCGTATGTTCATTACAGTGTTTTATGATAACATTACATTGGCCATCTATCACTATGGATATGAGAAAGTATCCATACAGTGGAATACTCATTAGTCATATGATGTCAATATTCAGGTGCACACAGTCCCCATCCCTAAATCCTCGGGCCAAATATTCATACATTTTTGCTGCAAAAACCCGAGAGTTTTATGATATTTGGCATTTGCACCGTGTTTTTGTGGCCAAATTTAAGAATATTTATATTAAGTGGCATAAATAAATGCTTCAAATAACCTAATCAGCAAGTTTAGGTCTTACTGCCTAATGAATTTGTTGCAAACAACTGTAAACATTTGTGATTTTTAGGGCTTTATGGGTTTTTATTTACACATTTGTTCAGTGAAATGATGTGCAATATCTAAATAGAAAAGAATGGGTTATAAATCACAAATATAAATTCCATTTTTATAAAATTTATAGAAACATTGCTTCTCCCTCATGCATAGAAAAATATTTCAACTGATGGTTCTCTCTGGCAGCTATAGGTAATCTTTGTTGTTTTATACTTTTCTGAGATTTTAATAATTCTTTAAAAATGAGTTCACATTGATTTTATTATGAGTGAAGACACAACGCTCTCTTTTGAAAGAAAAAACAAGATTTCACTTTTCTCAAATTTTCATTTTAGTGATAAGATGTTTCCAGCTTTTGGTTTTGGAGCTCAGATACCACCTCAGTGGCAGGTAAGAGGAAATCTCATTTTAAAGCTTTGCTTGCTGTAAAGCAAAACAGGATTCATCAGTTCATCTTTCATCTTTTGACAGGTATCACATGAATTTCCAATAAACTTTAATCCATCCAATCCCTACTGTAATGGTAAGTTTAAAAGTAAACATGAAGACTTGAAGCTGAAAGACCTCACTATCTTTCTTACTTGTTTTTTCTTGTGACTTAAAACTACTCAATCACATGTCTAGGTTTCATTTTGTGACATATTCTGTTAGAGAAGGTAGAAAAACTATACCAGTTTGTGGTTAGGGTAGTAATAATAATTATGGTGCAAAATCAGTATTATGGTGATAAAGGTTCTGAGGTTTAATGGAACAAAAAAATAAATTCATAATCTTGAGAGTAGAAAAATCTTATATTAAAAGTATTTTCACACATAAATTGATTATATAATAAACTTTCAATGAAATGAGTAATTCAGAATTATAATTCTTCTGAAGCCTTTTTGAGAGTAATAGTTACTCTACAAAGAAAAAGTATCTAATTATGTGTAACTCAAACAACATTCTATAAGTAGATGGGATAGGTGGAAGGAACCAAGAATTGTTACCTATAGCAGATTTTCTGTGTAGAAAGCAGGAGGCAGACATGTGTCTTTCAATTCACTTTTTCCCCAATGCTTCAAATATCCAACTGCTTCCTTCTTTTTGCCACATTAAACAGTCAACTTAAAATGCCAAGTTCCCACTAAACGTAAGACTGAACAACTTGGAGGAAGGATGGTAGGTGTCCGATCACAAGCATCATTTGTAATTCTAGACAATCAGCTAAGTTTCTGAAAAGGATATATTTTTGAAAATTTTTTTTAGATGTTGATGGACTTTTATATTATTTATTTCTATGTGGTGCTGAGGATGGAACCCAGTGCCTCACACATGCTAGACAAGCACTCTACCACTATGCTACAACCCTATCCCTGAAAAAGGTCCTTTTAACAATTATGAAACATATAGTTTTCCAATAGAAGAAGGTCTTCTTTTCTTCTCTTCCTAAACAATATTCATAAGGAAGAAGAGTGTGGGGCAGTTGGTTGGGGACAGTTTGCATGAAGGTTTTCTTCCTTTTTTTCCCATATGAGTGCAGTGTTCTTTTAATGCAGTGTCAGTGGCTTGTTGTGACTTCTTTGAAACTGGAAATATTATTTTTACGGAATGTGCTTCATGCTTATGATGAAATTGGAATCATTTTTATGGACCATATATGTGACAATTCCTTTTAGAAGTACATTTGCTCTACAAATGATATGAACCCATCTCATGTCACCAAGCCCAGATTTTTTACTTTTGGTTTATAGTCTAGAAAAAGAATTAGTTTGGTCTCAGATGAAAGAAATGCTATATGGGCAAAAAAAGATACAACCTTATTTTTTTTCTTGGAAAATATTAATAATTATTTAATATGCAGATTGGTAAAGTTTTTTTTATTTGTTCTGGTGAATTATACACGATAGAATGCATTTTGACACATCATACATAAATGGAATATAACTTCTCATTCTTCTGGTTGTATATAATGTGGAATTATACTGGTCATGTAGTAATATATGCACATAGGGTAGTAATGTCCGATTCATTCTAGTATCCTTCCTACCCTTATACAACTTTATTTTAAAGCAAGGAAGTTTAATTGCCATTCTTCAATTAATCATTGAATACAGTTGCCTAGAAATAACATCTTACTTGTACCTTTAATGCAAGGAAGGATTTTGGCATAACTCAATTTTAGTTAAAGAATTGAAGGTTATTGATATTTGTGGAAAAAAATGAATTGTTTATACCTTCAGTTTGAAAAGCAAACAAAGATGATAGACATGAAAAAAAATTGTTATCACTATAGTTATAGGCTCCAATTTCCACTGTGTATGTCATTACAGTGAAAGATTCTGATACTAGCTAATGTTAATTTTATTATTTTTATTGCTACTGGATTGACACCTAGTTACAACATTATCTTATACATGTGAAATCAACTCCGTGTATGAATTAGTTATATTCTCAAAGGTTGTTCATAAGACTACATGTTTCAAAATTCAACATGGCCAAGAGTTAAGTTTATAACTCTTAAATTTTAAGAGGAGAGACTTGGTCATATGAAGCTTTTAGACCAAGCATACAGTTCTCTCCCTTGTTGGTCTATGATCTGTTGGCTCTTTTGAAAGCAAGAGACCTACTTTGGGGCTGAGGTTGTAGTTCAGTGGTAAAGCACTTGCCTAGTATGTGTGAGGTACTGGGTTTGATTCTCAGCACCACATATAAATAAATTAATTAAATAAAGATCCATCAATAAATAAAAAAATTTTTTTAAAAAGAGGCCTACTTTGGTTTACATTAAAATTGTGTGTGTGTGTGTGTGTGTGTGTGTGTGTGTATGAAATTTCCAAGGATTTTAGCAAGGATTGTGGAGAATTCTTTATAATGTCTAGTACCCTTTTGCCATGTGTCATTGGGGACACCTTCCACAAGTGCATACACAAGAAAAAAGTTTCACCAGAAGTGATTTTTGCCAGGAATGCCATTCAGCTTTCATCAGGTTGTGCTGTTGTAATAAGAGATCTTTAAAACTCAGTGGCTTATGATGAAGAGTTTATTTCTTGCCCACTACAGATTGCATCCCTCCTCCAGTGGCTTATTCTGGGACTCAGCTGAAGGAATAGCTCTTTGCTGGGTTATACTGCTCCTGTGGAAGAGGGAAAGAGCAACAGAGCTAGAGAAATCATCCAGTAGTTCTTAAAGCATGCTTAGATGTGGTTGTCATGACCATTGACATGCATTGGTAAAGCTAGTCAAACGTTGTCCATCTTTCTATTATAATAACACTCTAGGTCCAGGGCAGTGTCTTATAAGCAAATTCATTACTGTTTCTACCGCAAAATCTAATAGATAACCTGGAGGTAAATATTTGTAACTAATATAGACTATTATTACTGTGCCTAATCTTTAAGTTGTTGAATAAACCTTTGTATCATTTAATTAACTAGAATTAATATTAGCTTATAACCATAAGATATTTTTATAGAACCTTTGGCCTTATACACAAACATTTTTTCATCTTATCAGTATTTTTTCTTATGCTTATCATCAGTTGTATGATGTAAAACTTTTTTCATGGTTCTCTTTCCATCAGAGTCCCATTCGTGGTCACCTCAAAATTAAGCACAAATGTAATAGTCCTGTACACTAATGAATAATTTAGCTGAAATGAGAATACATGACTTCTACTGAGGGAGAGCTGAGTTTGTAGGTTTTTGCAATAGAGCATAGCCATGGAGTTTTGTCATATAGTTTACAGGAAGCCAGGCATGCTGGTTCATGTCTGTAATTCTGGTGACTTGGGAGGATGAGGCGGGAGGATTGCGAGTTTGAGGCCAGCCTCAGCAACTTAGCTTTGTTGCAAAACAAACAAACAAACAAACAGGATTGGGGATGTAGCTCAGTGGTAAAATTTATTAATTTTAATCCCCAATTCCATGTGTGTGTGTATGTGTGTGTGTGTGTGTGTGTGTGTGTGTCGGGGGGGGGTGCTTAGAGGAGCACCTGAATGGAATATTTGGCTTCTTGAAGTAACATATGTTGATATATGATTATATTAGTGTTATAAATCAACACTTAAAGATTTTTAATACTCACTTTTTGGGGTCTAGGAATCGAAGGCATCATAGAGGCTTATCGCACCTGTCTTCCTCAGATAAAACTCTATGGACCAACTAATTTTTCTCCAATCATAAATCATGTGGCTAGGTTCGCAGCTGCAGCCACACAACAGAAGACAGCTTCTGTAAGTGTTTTTGTGTTCAGGAAATGGGAAAACAGTGGATCGGTAGTTGTTCCTGTTAACAGTATTTCTGCTTATTTGGCCTGTCATAATACAAAGTCAAGAGGAAGAGGTAATGATATAGTCATTGTTGGTTTGTGAGAAATATCTGTTGTTAAATTAGCAATAATTAAAAGGCAACAAGAAAATGATGCATTCACAAGTTTGTTTTTTTTCCCCTCTATCTCTCTATCTTTTGAGTGCATTTTTGAGTTTCTCCCCCCCCCCCCAAAAAAAAAAAGCTATTGTCTACCTCTTTGAGGTGGACTTCACAAATTAAGGCTTGGGGATATTGACATCAATTGCTGTTGCAAATTTCTTTTTTTGTTTTTTTTTTTTCTTTTTTGTGGTGCTAAGGGCCTTGTGCATGCAAGGCAAGCACTCTGCCAACTGAACTGTATTTCTAACACCACAAATTTCTTACAGTACTACGGAGGTTTGAATTAGCTAACCATTGCTGATTGTATCTGTGATCCCAATCTCTCTTAGCTTCAGTATTCTCAGAAGTGAGGTTTGGGAAGTTGCCTCAAACAGTTGCTCAAAAGGCTGAATAAGAAAATTCATATAATGTGTGTATTGCTGGGTCACAGGAAACAGTACCTGTTAACTACTACTAGAAATCTTATTCCATTCTAGACTAAAATGGTCCAAAAGATGGAGTCATACCTTTAAGGACCATTTTGCTAATCTCTGATAAGTTTTAATCAGAAATGACAAAATTGAAAGAAAGATTTACTGCTTTAAACTGTGTCAATTTTTAAAAGGTGTATTTTAGTTCGGTAAATAATTCTATTACTTCCATATGTATTTCATCTTTTGAGAATGGAGTCTCTGCTTGCTTCCTTGATCCATACTTGGACGTAGTTAATGTTTCAGTTAAATAAAGATGTTTATTCCTATGCATAGTGGAAGGTTAATCTTTGGACATTTAGATGCCTAGCATCTGTTTATTTTGCCAACCCAATTTTGTAGTGTGTTGCACTTTTCATGAACCTACAGTTTTTATAAAAGTCAATTTCCTTGTCATCAGAGAATCCTATAAATATTTTGTGCAGATGGTATTCTGGGTAGAGACGGGAGAGGAAAATGAGCACGAGAGAGACCAAATGACTCTTCAGGCTAGAAATGTCATTAATCATTGCTTTTATTGTTTGGGACCTTGACCTTATCAGTGGATATACTTCCCTTTTTTTTGGCAGCAATATTTTGTGCTCTTGATTATTACTGATGGTGTCATCACAGACCTTGATGAAACCAGGCAAGCTATAGTTAATGCTGCCAAGCTGCCTATGTCCATCATCATCGTTGGAGTCGGAGGAGCTGACTTCAGTGCCATGGAGTTTCTGGATGGTGATGGGGGACCTCTTCGCTCCCCATCTGGTGAGATGGCCATCAGAGATATTGTCCAGTTTGTGCCTTTCAGACAGTTCCAGAACGTGAGTACCTTTCCTCTCTGTTAAAACCCTAAGGTATTTGAACACAGATACTGTCTCCAATCAAGCGCTTGACTACTGGTGCAGTATTCAAGGATGTATAAATGCCTTTTCATATGAGAGCTCTTATTGGATATGGCATGGTTGTATTTTATGTTCTCCTTGTATTTTATATGATAGATTATTAAAATGGTATTATTATGAATAGTGTAAGGTTTATTTTGTCTTTACCTTTGTAACAACAGAAAAAAATTCTATCCAAGTATATGCTGAACTTACCAGATTGGAAGTTGGTTTGATGAAAATCTTTTAGAGGACTGATTTACCCAGTTTGCTCCAGTGGTAACATCATATGGCACTATAATACAGAATCACAGCCAGGATGCTAATGTTGATACAATTAAGATGCATCACTACAAAGATCCCACATGTTGTCCTTTTATAGCCACATCCACTTCCCTTCTACCTCTGACCCCTCATTAACCTATTGAAATTTCTCATCTGTTCTTCATTTATGTAATTTTGTCATTTGAAGAATGTTACATAAATGGAATTGTACAGAATGCAACATTTTGGGACTGGTCTTTTTCCACGTAGAATAATTTTCCTGTCAGTCACTCAGGTTGTTGCATTATTGCATGTTTCCCCCCCCCCCCCCCAATGTAGTTATATTATCTATTTTTTTTTTTTAAAAAAAACAATGTTTGTGTTAAAGGATCTTCTCCACCTGTGCTTAAACACTTTCCATTTTTCCCCATTGTATCACTTGTAATAAAGCCTTATTAGTTGTTCTCATAACAACTAAATATACTGCCATATTTTACAAATGATCTATAAGCCCTAGTTATATTATAAAGTGATTTTTAAAAGATAGTCCTGGGTATTGGTTGTCATTTTGAAAAGAGTATATAAAAATCTGATTTATAGTGATGTGTGAAATTTAATCTGATATGTGAAATTATAGAAATCACATAAAGTATGAACATAAATAGATTATGAATATTACTCTTCTCAAATAACCTTCATAGAAGGCTATCAGACTCAGTAATCACACTGAAAGCTAATTTGAAATTTTATTTACATGTATACTTTTTATTGCTGAGTAGAATTCTAGGATGCGGATGTACCACAGTTTGTTTAACCATTCACCCATTGAAGGGTATCTGGGTTGTTTCCAGTTTTTGTCTATTACATATAAAGCTACTATAAATATTCATGCATTTGTTTTGATCATAAGTTTTTATTCCTCTGGGATAAAACCTGGGTATACAGTTGCTGGGTCCTATGGTAGTTGAATATTGAATTTAATTTTAAAGCAATTGTTAAACTTTTCCAGAGTGGCTGTACCATTTTATATTTCTACTAATAATGGGAGAGGAGAAAAGTGGTCATGTTAAGAATTTTTATGGTGTACAGGAGAGCATCTAAAACCAGTGAAATCTGAATAAGTTCTGTGAATTGTACCAATATCAGTTTCCTGGTTTAGACCTATAGTCAGATAAATGTTGTCTTTGGACAAAACTGGGTAAAGCATATATGGGACCACTGTTTATTTTTGTAGCTTCCTATGAATCTATTATTATTTCAAAATAATAATAGATTCATAGGAAGTAAAATAATTTAATACCAAGTTAAAAGTTAAAGAAAAGCAAACAACAACAACAAAAAAATCATCAAATTTTAAAAGGCTGGCACCAAAAAAGGCCTGAACATGTATTAGCAGGGATAATAACAGCAATTATAAGTAACATTGGTTAGTTAGCTTATGCCGTATTTTGTAGACTGTTCCTAAGAAAAAATACAAGCTAGGAACTGGGAATTCCAGCTTTTTACTGGCTGATAAAATGTCTCTTGTCTTTTATCAAAAAACTAGTAAAGCTGGGCGTGGTGGTGCACACACCTGTAATCCCAGCAATTTAGGAGGTTGAGGTAAGAGCCTCAGCAATTTAGCAAGACTCTGTCTCAAAATTAAAAAATAAAAGGTAAAGGGGTTGGGATGTGTAGCTCAATGGTAAAGTGTTTCTGGGTTCAATATTCAGTACCCGTCCCCCCAAAAAAACCCAGTAAATCTTTGGTTACTAATAGTTACTTTGGTTTTATTTTTCTCAAGGCTCCAAAAGAAGCACTTGCCCAGTGTGTTTTGGCGGAGGTTCCCCAGCAGGTGGTGGGCTACTTCAACACTTACAAGCTCCTTCCTCCCAAGAATCCAGCCATGAAATAAAAGGAGCTAGCTTCGACCACTTAAGCAGAATTCTTATGCTAAAAGGAACAATGCCATTTCTTACACACAATCATGTATCTGCTACTTTATGTACTTTTACCCCAGCATTCATGATGTAAAACTAGTTCTATTTGAATTATATCTGTTTAAAGAGTAGTTTTTATACTTTTTGAGGGAGACAGTGCCAAGTCCATGTTTGCCCAATCAATTCAGTGATTGCTAGTGATTTACAATAATTGCAGTTAGGCCTATTTGGGTTAGAACCTTGTGTGGGGAAAGCTGATTTTTTGTTGTTTACTTTTATATAATAAAATTGCCATTTATAAATGTTTGTCAGTAGAAAGAGTGAAAAATTGTTGGGATGATGTGATTTTTCAGGTGGCTGTACTTTGTTCACAGTAAATGTTTTACAGGTCAATGTCTATAACTATTGATTGAGAAAGCTTCTTAAATTAGACAATATTGAATTTGTTTCTGTGGATCTCTATTCAGTCTTTTTCCACTGGGCAAAAACTACCTTTACAGTTCACCAGATTTGTGCTACAGTTTAGACACTGCACAATTTACAAAACAGCATGTACTCTCATAGGACTTCATGAAAAGGAAAAGTACATACTCAATTTTTAAAATATACAATCAACAAGAAGAACCTCATATGAGTAAGCCATTTTTATTTGCTTTTCTAGATTTTTTTCATTGTGGAATACTGTAAATGTGCTCAGATTTGGCCTTTCTTTTCATTGATTGAATATGATGCTCAGGACTCCGTAAATGCATAGTTACAGGTTGTCCCATATCTACATTGTTAGATTATTTTAATCTGAGATTTGCTAAATAGGTTAGTATTGCTTTGTCCAGAAAAGGTATGAGGACCAAACATATAAGGTAAAAATTCAGAATTCCATTTCCTTCTGATGAAAGATTTTACTTATTAAAGAAAAAATGAAAATGAAATTTTTTACTTTCCTTGCTAAGGTCATATACATTGATTTATACAGATTTATTTAGGCATTTTCTCCTTTTGTTAAGTAGCATTTTTGTTTGATTTCTAAAGTCATGATAGCAGTTATCTATTATTGAAATCACATTTTAATAATGTATTATTTCCTAAATCCAAAATATATGCCATTAAGTATAATAGCAGATATAACTTTAAAAAAAAGAAAAGAAAAAAAATCCCTTTCCACTACTACATTAGGATAGAGTGGACTTAATGAGCTTTTTGTTTGTTTGTTTGTTTGTTTGTTTTAAAGAATAATTTAGTTTCCTGGTGATTGCCCTTCAGAACATATTACTAGGTAAGCATTACATTTTCAGAAACAAATTCAGTAACATTTGATGGAGGACTTATGTGCCAAGCATTGTGCATAGCTCTGTGTTGGCCAATTAATAATTTATCATTTATAATTGTGTGTTTACCATTAAGTGGATGTACACAGCAACATGTAGACCTGCCTCTCAGTGTCACTGAAAATCCGCACCACAGCTCACGGCCTTTATTCTCTTCAACATCTAAAGGAGGTGAGCTGTCAGCTGTGAACAGCTTTGGCTTCTCAGAAACGGCTCACTGCCAAGGTCTGGCTCAGAAGGGAGCTACTTGTTGTCATGGTTGCTTAGCCAGGTGAGCAGTCACCGCTCTTCCCTTGGCTATCTGGGCCCCGGGTATATGCTGATAACTTGAAGGTACCTATCTAGTAGGCTTCCACTCCGTGGGACAGTTCAATAGTCAATAAGTGATTTCAGCATTGTCAATAGAGGAGAAAGAATTGATCATTCTTTCTTGTTTTGGAGTCTTTGTTGTCTCAGAGGTCCTAATTTCAGTTAGGAAACAGCATAGATATGCTTGTGTGCTTGGAAACAGCATAAATATGTTGCTATGGTTTTTAGATTTTTCTTTTTATATATAGGAAGTCTTTTAAATATTGACTTATACAGTTTCTCAGTGTGTGGGTGAGGTGAACAGGTAGGAGAGGAGCCTCTCTGAGTGCCCTGGGCCTGCTCCTCATGCTCCTTCCTTAACCACATCCTCAGTAGCCCTGGAGTCACCTGCACAGGCCACTTGGTAACCTCTGGTCACAAGCAGCCATTATTTTCATGGGACAAGTGGAAGTCACCACTGTCAGGTTGATTTGGTCATCATAATTTTTTTATTCTGGTTCCACCAGAATTGTTCCCTTTAGAAAATATTTTTCTTTATTGATTCTTGATCAGTTTAATTGTAGATGTGTTATTCATAAGGGCTATGATTTCAGCAAATAAAGGTAATTGGTACCTTTCTTCAGTTTGAAATAAAAGTATTTACAGTTTCTGAATTATCATGGTATAAAATCCTTACCATTTGAACATTCACATGCTGTTTGGATATTGTTTTATATTAAAATAGTCCTTTTCCCTGTTGTGCCACCATTCATTCAGATACCCTCCATTCTTTAAATGTATTTAAAGAAAAAAATAACCAAATGGACTTTCACATCTCATGTAATCAAGTATATTACAAATGTATATTAAAGTGACAGTTCCTGGGAATACATACTATTTCTCATGCACTTAGCAAGAAAGTAGTATACCCACTAGCCTCGTCACCTCACCTTGTGATTAGAATGGAAATTGTAAGAACATTAAAAATTTAAAGTCTGATCAGGGATTTACAACTGTTCACTCTGGGTAGTGCTTTAGGCAGCCTTTCCAAAGTTAATTCAGGGCCCCATTGCTGCTTATGCTGTATTTTTTTTTTTTTCAATCTTTTGTCTTTTTCATTTTGTAAATTTCCTAGAAAGCCATCTTCAATCAGTCTCATCTAGTCTGTACTTTATCATGGAAATGTCATAGAAGGTAGCCAGAAGTTTGGTAGAAATTGGGAGAGACTATTTTGCATTTATATGGATGTCCTATGTGATAGTATGTATATAACTTACTAATATATGAATTGATGTTAAATGTATCTTCTATATGAATTCACTTTGGATAAAGTTACTTCTTGATGTGACAAAATAGTGTCTTGTTTTTATTTTTATTCTTTCTCTACATATTATCAAAAAAATAGAAAAGCTAGAAATAAAGTATCTTAATCCATCTTCTGCTGCTATAACAAAATACCACAGGCTGGGTCATTAATAAATAATAGAGGTGGGAAGCTCAAGAGCCTAACACCTACATCTGGCAAGGATCTCTGTGGAACATGGTGGAAGGGCAAGTGAGCACATGTGAGACAGAGGTTTTTTGTTGTTGAAGTTGTTGTTTTAAATCAGGAAACCACATCCACATTAACTAATTCACTTCTGCAATTGCAGCATTAATCCATCCATGAGGGAAGAGTCCTCCTGATCTAAGTTTCTCTCTGTCAGTAGTGTTACACTGGCAATTAAATTTCAAAAGATTTTTGTAGGGAACATTCAAACCATTGAATAAAATGGATATGGTATTTTTTTCGGTGGCCTGTATATCATAGTTTACTAAATTAAACATTTTTGGGGATGTCATTATTTATGACATTTATTTGTTTAAAAGTATCAAATGGGTTCAATATACTTTTCTAGGTACAATAAAGGAAAGTTTCATAGCTCATTGCTAGGATAACCTGACATATATAATACATTTTATTATTTATGTTAAGTAGGATGGCATGTTCACATAACTTTTTAAAATTTTAAAAATTATTTCTCTTATTTTGCAAAATTTAAAATTAGTCCTTGGGGCTGGGGTTGTGGCTCAGCGGTAGAGCGCTCACCTAGTGTGTTCGAGGCCCTGTGTTTGTTCCTCAGCACTACATAAAAATAGATAAAAAAAATAAAACTATTAAAAAATAAAAATAAAATTACTCCTTATTTTGCGAAATTTAAAATTACTTAATTTAGACAAGGCTTTGCAAATGCAGTGGGATTCCATGAAGCAATCACAGTTACTGCCTTCATAGAAATGATAGTCTGAGTAATTATTAAAGTAGTTAGACATGAGGCCAGTGTGTGAGAAGCATGTAGTAGGGAGGACTCAAACCCATCTGGGAGGCAAGGAACTTTGCCACAAAGCTAAGGCCTGAAAGTTAGTTGGTGAAAGAGTTAAAAGCACTTATGAAGGGATCATGTCTACAGCATGAATATTCTAGAAATGGAAAGAAATTTGAGTTTGCTGGAATGTAAAGTGTGAGGGGGCCCAAGTGCGGTGGCACATGCTTGTAATTCCAGCGGTTTGGGAGGCTGGGGCAGGAAGATCACATGTTCAAAGCCAGGCTCAGCAAAAGCAAGGTGCTAAGTAACTCAGTGAGACCCTGTCTCTAAATAAAACACAAAAATAGGGCTGGGAATGTGCTGCAGCTGGACTGCGGCAGATGGTGGCCCGTTACGGGGAGCCCCGGACACTGGGGGTAAGTGACGAAAAAAGCTGCCCGTCCATAGATAGGACTGGAGCAAATCTGCTCATCCCTAGGCAGATAGGGCAAGAGGAAAAATGACCATTTCAAGAAAATGGAGAAGATTGATACAGTATGTTTGTATCTTGTTTTGTCTCAGTGTATTGTATTGTCTTTGTGATGAAAATATGGAAGGGATGAGAAGTAAATTACTAAGGGAAGAAGACACCCCAGTGGAACCAAGAATAGTTAGGGCATGTGTTGATGGAAGCCCAGGAACTCTAGTCAGAAAGAAAAAGAAAGTTCAGAAGAAGAAAGATTATCAGGAAAAAAGTTGCAGCAAAAGGCTACTACTGAATACTTTTCGTTACCGGAGGGTGCGTGAATCGGTGCAGCGGCTGCCGAGTGTGCAAGCCGGTCACAGCGCAGCAAGGATTTTCCAAGAGGCGGCGGCGACTGGCCCTTCCCCGCCTCCTGGCCGGGGAGCTGGCTCTTCCACTGCCGCGAGCCCAAATCTAGACCTGACCTGGAGGCACAGTCTCGCAGGCTCTTGCTCCCTGTGCCCAGTAGCAGTTTGAGTCCGGGACACTCCCCAGGGCCATCTGGGGCTGCCCAGGACGCTACAGCTGATGTTTGGTCATTTTCAATGCCAATAACTAAGCTACAATGGTTCTCCCACACCTGGAGGCTGATGAGTAATAAGCGCCATTAAGGCCTATTTCAAATGTAAAAAACCTTGAGATAATGTACTAAATTGTTCAGAAGGTTGTTTTCTTAGTAGAATGCTACAGGATTTTCTTTAGCCATCCGGAGTTCCTGCCTTCGTCCCAGTGCCAGTAAAGACCAAGGTGGAAGAATTTCCAGTGTTGCTGAAAACTGGAGGAGACTTCGGAGCTATTGCTGTTTCTGCTGCTACAACTTAAGCTAGCTGCCTGCAGAACTTACCTGGACTGTGATTTAAGCTAGATGCCTGCAGAACTTACCTGGACTGTGATTTAAGCTAGCTGCCTACAGAACTTACCTGGACTATGATTTACCTGGACTGTGAGTTAATCTATTGAGACACTGCTTTCTGGAATGAGACAACAAACTGTAATCTACAACAAATTGTAACTCGGTATCTTTGCTAATGGTGTCATTGCTGGTATAATTTTTCCAAGGGCTTCTTGCATGGAGCCATCAAGTGGCTTGGTATTGTGGCATTTTGTATCCTCCCTTTCTGTTTGTAGCAGGTTATTTATGGTGTTTCTGTAAAAACCACTATGGTCATTATTTAAATTAAACAAAAGAGGGAAATGTTAGAGTCTGTAAACAAGTCAAAAATAACACCTGGCATTTTGCCAGGGGAATGTTAGAGTTCGTAAACAAGTCTGGATGGTGCCTGGCAAAATGCCAGAGGGAGTGGTTTGAGAAGTAACAAAAGCGAGCCATTAAGTGTGGAGATTCCTTATTGGTTGACTGATGTATCTAGTTTATGCTAATTAGATAAGCTGTGTGGAATGTATAAATACTGCTCCTGTCCTGCAATAAATGGCTCCCACTCCTGCTGTATCAACGTACACAAGTTATTCGTCACCCCCCGGTTATTTTGCTACAGCAGCCGGACTGCGGCAGGAATGTGGCTCAGTGGTCAAGTGTCCCTGAGTTAAATCCCCAGTACACCCCCCAAAATAAATAAAATGTGAGGGGGAAAGTGGTGAAAGAAGAATGGAGAGAAAGAGTGGAGTGGTTTACATCCCGGGGACCCTCTGGGTCAGGTAAGGGTGTTCAGACTTACACTAAGAGTGATGGGATACTACTGAATAGATTTCAGCAAAGGAATGATGTGATCATATTTGTATTATTTAAAAAAAATGGAAGACCTTACATTTTAGGGCAGACAAGGAGACTCACAAACCCACAGAGTGTTGCCAAACCTGGGTTTGGCCACCATGCTTTGCCCTGGTGAAGCCCAGGTAGGGAAGTTAGAGATTGTCACCTTCTGGGGCAGACAGAACTGTTTGGTCACATCCTGGATAAGGATCTGATTCTTGGTATGTTTCCAAATTCTTTGCTTTTGATTTTCCTGCTACAAACCTGCCTCCATATCAAATCATCTATTAGGCCCATGTCTCATCAATTCCTTAATGATTCAGAGGCACTTGGTGATATTGACCTCTAGGATTATCAACCTTTGCTTATGGTAAGTTCATCACTCTTATCATTTGTCACCAACTATCACTACATATGGTCAAATTCCCCAGAAAAATCAAAGGAGACTGCACATTTTGGCTTGGCTATTGAGTCCAAAAAGAAATGATCAGTAAAAAAGCATCATTATAAGCAGAATTTTCACTTCTTACAGCTTGGGAAAGGAGAGGTTTTTTTTTTTTTTCTTTTTTTTCTTTCTTTCTTTTTTTTTTTTTTTTGTTCTTATTATCAGCAGACTCATAAAGCACCAGGTTTTGTAGCACCACCTGGGCTTCTAGAACTAGACTCAAGAATTTCCAGAGTTAGGGAGCTCTAGGGAATTCTTGGGGAGAAGACTAAGGAGGAAGTAATTTGTCTTTTTCAACCAACTCTTCCATTCTGTAAGATGTGTTCATCTGTTTCTTGCACAGATATTTACTGAGGTGCTTACTACTGGCAACAAATAGGGAAATTCAAAAAAAGTAAGGAATTTTTCCTAGCATCAAAGCTTATGATCTAATGTGGAAAAGGAGAAAGTATATGATGGATAAAATAAAGCAGGAATGAGCAAATTGAGGGAGCCCTCAGAGTTGAAGTAAGACTGTCTCTTCTCATGCTTTCAGGTATCCATGCTGCTTATGGAAGGACACTCTTTCCTTCCCTGCCTCCCTCCAACATTTTTTGGTCTCCACTGCTGTCCTGTTCACCAGGACTCTCCCTGCCAGTCCTCATAAGAACCCTGCATCATTAGCTTCCTCACTGTAACCTGCAGATGGCTTCTCTGTACAATCCATAGTCTGACTCCACTATCTCATTTCTCTGTAATGCCCCAAATCCTTTCACTCTACCTTCAGGAATTGAGTCATTCCTTAGTAAATTTCTTTATATCAATGCTTTTCATGAACAATCCCTTCTCCTTATTCTAACTAAAGCCTGGTTCTCTTGAAGAACATTACTTCCTTTGCACCCTGTCAAGTGGAGGTTGTTTTCTGCTTGAAGATAACTCTCTCCTCCTCTTTTAGAGCTCCAATTTTGAACCTTAATCATTGGATTCAATTCTTCTGTATCCATCCTTATGATAATCTTGCTCTTTACCTCAGCCCACACTTCAAAAGTTATACCCTAGGCCTTATTAACTAACTAGAATCTCATTCTCAAGTAGAGTATTCCACTTTCCAATAACAATGTGCTTTCTCTCTTTCCCTTTGGTACCACAACTCTTAACTAGAGTTAACCATTGGTGCCTTTGATTCATTAACCCTACCGACTTTTCTGTTCAAATGACCCTGATTCTTTTCTAAAATTCTTTCTTATTGCCATTGCCTGGGCCATTCTGTTTGAATACACCTGGCTCACTTGGCTCTAGGCCCTTGCACTTGCTGTTATCCCTTTCTAAACCCCACCCCCTGCTACTCACTTGGAAACTTTGCTCCCTCTCTTCCTGCAGTTCTTCATTCAACCACCACCTAATGAAGCCATGGCTCATCACCTTATTCAAATTGTGCCTCTTTCCCAGTGCTTTCAATCCCTTTTTTGTTTGTTTGTTTGTTTGTTTAAATTTTACTTATTTCCCTCCTTCACCCACTTAATGTGATTCCAAGAAATAAGGAATTTTGTCTCTAAGTTCAATGTTTTATCCCCAGAACCGAGAAGAGACCTTGGCATTTAGTAGGTACTCCTTAAATAGATGACTAAACTATGAATGAATGAAGTGTGTGTGTTGGTGCATAAATAAAGAAGTTGACTTACACAAGAAAATGTTGCAACTTAGAGTGAGGAGATTTTCTATTCAATGCAAGGAACATTCAAGGCAGTGAGAGGGTTTGGGAGAGCTTCATGAATATTTTGGCATTTCCTCTAGGATTTGAAGGTTTGGGAGGATGTCATAATATAGAGAAAGCACCAGAGGACTTAAAACAAAAATCAGCGTTGTCATTTACAGTAGTCCTTTTTTTTCATAACTGAATCTTTCCTCATTTTTACAAATATGATATGTAAATTCAAACTATATTAGTATTTCACATATTCCTATTTTAGTGAAATCTGTAGTTAGTCACTTTCTGAAGGTCAAACTAAATCTGATTCTTTCACAGTCCTTACTTGGCAAACTTGATCATCATTTGACCTAACGAAATCTTAAGAAGTGTACTTGTTTGAAAAAATCCTTCTTCTGGTAGGTGCTACTTTTATTGTTAATTCTTGATTCTCATGTTTGAAAAGCCATGTGGTGTCTTTAGACCTTGGATTCTACTATACTCTTGTGTAACACTGGACAAAGGATCTTGTTTTATCAAATGAGGACTTGGAATGGGAATTTATGAATTCCCTTTCAAGTCTACAATTCTGGTGTAAAGAGAGCTTGATTTATTTGAAGATAGATGCAAGAAACAGCATCATGAGCCTGGTTAATAACCCTTCACATGCACTATCTGCTGAATTCTGTATCACTTAGAATTCCCAGCAGAGAATGTTCTCATAAATTTGTAGCAGGATCATGTGTATAGTGGGCAAACATCTAGAGGTACAAAGGAACAGTAAGAGGGATTGTCACTTTTCAGGTATCTCTCCCTTTCCTTATCCAAGGGAGTTATTCTCTAAAAATGTCAGGTTGTATTGCTTAATCATGCACATTTATTTGACCTTTGTACTATCAGCTCTAGTCACAAAAGTTATAGTAGGAAAAATACAGCCAGTCATAAAAACTCAAAGAGGAAAACATCAAATTTTACTACAGTGTTATGGATAAGGTACTTAAAAAATGAATTTCAAATATTTTGGATCTGATAAGACATAAAAAATTCCAGAAAACCATAGTGATTAATATCTTCTAAAGATTTTAAAAGTTCCTCATAGGAAGGTAAAAGAATTATTGCAAGTATAGAACAGGCTCAAATTATAGAATGCACAGACTCTTCTCTGTACATTGGCATTTGGTGTAGCAATTTTTCATCTAATACTTAACTAGAAGGAAACTGTCTGTTACATATTATTTCAAATGTTACAAAAATGGCCACAGTCTTTCTTCTCTGTCCAGATCTGCTCCTTTTTGTGGTGTGATTTTACAGTTCTCCCATTATGAATGATATTTTACTTATCTATTCCTTGAATCCAGGCTTGTCTTGTGACTTATTTTGACTAACAGAATGTGGTAAAATGCTGAGAGCCATAGCCAAGTAGGAATGATGCATGGCATTTTTGGTTGAAAGGTGACACCAGCAAGCCATTGAGATGTTAAGATTTGCATTCAATTGGATATTAGACCCCTGCTGTTCGCCTTGGCCTGCTACTTTGGAGCTCTAGCGGGACTCCCGGAGAGTTCCCATTGGTTGGGGAAGTGCGGTAGGAGGGATTTCCGGAGGAGGAATTTTCCGGTTGGAGTAGTGTGTCCCAGGAGAATGCCACCTATGTGGTTCGGCATATTTCCCGGGAGTGTGCGCGGCATTGGCGGGAGTTTCAAAAATAAAGTTTGTTCCTGCTTGAGTGGCTCGTGATTTTGTGCCCAGCCAGACTGCGGCACTAAAAGTAGCCAAGTGTGATGGTGCAAACCTATAATCCCAGCAACTCCATTTGGGAGGCTGAGGAAGGAAGATATCAAGTTCAAGGCTAGTATGAGAAAATTAGCAAGACCCTGTCTTAAAATAAAATAGAAAGGACTGGAGGTGTGCCTCAGTGGTAGAGGGCTCCTGGGTTTAATCCACAGTACTGAAAAAAAGAATGTGGTAAAAGTAATGATAGACCAATTCTGAGCTTAGACCTCCAAAGTCTTACTTCTGTTTTGCTTGTCTCTTGGAATCATGTGCAAACTTCAAGCTCAGAAGAACCTTTTGGAGAATGAGAGCCCATGTAGATTAGAAACAGGCTATCTCCTCTGAGCTTGTCCAGTCAACCAGCAGCTGACTGATGAGCATAAATTAGCTGAGAAGGGACTGGAAGAATCACCAGTTGATTTCAGCCCAATTTGGCAGCACTGAGAATCATGAGTTAATAAGTGGTTGCTATTTTAAGTCATTAGGTTTTAGTCCAAAAAAACAAAAACAAAAACAAAAAACAATGAAATCTAACAAAGCGGAGTGGGCTTCTTCTTTACAGTGTAGGGGATTGAACCCAGAGCCTCACATTAGGCAAGTGCTTTACCCACTGAACTATATTTTCAGTCCTGAGTGAAGCATGTTTTAAGACTAGAAAACAGCTTTTATGTTGTGCTTTGAGGGCCACAGATGAAAGTAATATGAGATAATGAATTTTGAGCAACTAACACTTGGATATGACATCAGTGAGTCAGAAGAAATTGCTTTTTGAAATAAACATTTGTGTCCACAGGAAAAAAATTGACTTGTATAAAGAGACCATTTTTGCTTCTTTATGTTATGTTTAAAGTATAG